ATGTCTTAACAAACATAAAAAAGTTTATTTGAGTGAATTAGGCAAAAATAAAAAATTATTCCTTATTTTTTATCAATCTCATTAGCCTTTCTAAATCAACAAAGAAGAAAAGATGAAGGAAAAGGGATTGAAAACTCTAAGCCCAAACTTTAGACCCACGACAAGTGAAGAAGATGTCATAACACAAGACAAGTGAAGAAGATGTCATAACACAAGACAAGTGAAGAAGATGTCATAACACAAGACAAGTGAAGAAGATGTCATAACACCATGAACAATGAACCAACAGCAATATCTACAGGAACCTAAGAAATCCCTGAGATTTATCAAAGGAAACCTGAGAATAAATCAACGAAAGAACGAAGAATATTTAGAATTTAATGCTATAGATGAGATATATAAAATAGTACTATTTATCTATAAAATCTTTGTTGACAAAGCTGTTAAGGGTACTGTTGTAAATCGGGCATTGTCATCTTTGAATTAAGGGTTCACTTACATTTCTTTCAAAGTAAATCTGTATCCGAATTGAATGAATTTGAGCCGCGGCTTAAATCTGCCAAAAACTGGTTTCAATTGAGCGCCGGCTTAAATCTTGAAAAATGCAATACAATTTTAAGTGGAATCAACCATTTTGAGCCACAGCTTTAATTTAAGCCGCGGCTTCAAATTCTTTAAATCCGGCCTCTGAATTAAACAAATGTTAGAAAACAACAATTTCAAAAGTTCTAATTCCGAGGAAAACTCCGGATTTGATTTCCAATATTTGTTATTGCTTTAATAAAACATTTAAAAACAATCATAATTCAGTTTGACATTAAAAGCTGATATCTCTAAATACCACGGAATCAAGTTTAGATTTTGTTTCAAAATATCTAAAAGTGTTTAAAATGTACGATGTAAGCTATATACAGTGCACAATGTGCATGGTTGTTTTTTTATTTTAAACACATTCAAAATGATAGCACACCGTGGTCCCAGCCCCCAGACCACTGAAAGTAGATTTTTTGTATGAAATGTTAGAGTTTTACAGTTTTAAAATCTTAAAAATTATCTTTACATTAACATAAAACCAAAAAAATTGAATTCTGAGAGAGTTATAGTAGCTGTTTAATGACCAAGTGTGAGAATCAAAAACTTGGAGAAAAAATTATCATTTTCTGAAGAAGGTAATTTCAATTTAGCCAGGTTTGTTTTGCATTTTGTTTGTATTGTACCATTGTATGAGGATTTCACTTAATTTCACTTTTATCTTTTTATTTTGTTTCATCTTTGTAAAGTTTAATTAAACCTGGGGTTCTTCTTCAAGCATTGTTTACTAGGTAAACATTTGCACAAAATATTCGGATAGACAATAGACGTAAAGTTAAGGAAATATTTTCATCAAGATCAAAATTAAAAACTTAGACATATAATCACCCCCCACTCCTCATCCCTTATTACACATTAAAAGTTTTCTCCCCTTTCTAACTGTCAAACAGTAACAAATCTTATTGATATAAATCTCATATTTTTCTTTTCATTTCTTTTTGTTTTATCATAAAATATGTCTTGTTTAATCGGACTCATTTTATTACTGATTTGCACACTTCACACTTTTTGGGCAGTTGGAGAAAATTAAAGACTTTTCTCTTTCATGGTATGGGATTAGTGTTCTGTTTTTTGTTTAACACCACACCAATGCAATGATTTTTTAGAGTAAGATTCATCGAATTTACCCCCCCCCCCCTCCCGTTGTTAAAATCAAAAGGTGCTGTGGTTAAAAAAATCAATTTTGAGATGGCACGTTTAAAAAATGGACAAGAAAATAATTTCTAGAAATTATTACAAAATTGTTATCTGTTCAGAACCAACGCTTGGAAGACAATGGTGATATTGGAGCATGTGATAGAAGAGTAGAAGAGGAAAAAATGTATTCCTGTCAGACGGGGGCGGAGTTCCCCGCCACCAACCAACCTAGGGTACCCTGCCCATCCTTAGACGGGGTATCCTGCCACACCCCCAGCCACTACCCTGGCTGGAAGGCGGGCAAACCAAAACAAATGCATGTAAGTAGTGTTATTATTTTTTAATTGTTTGTGGTTGATTTTAAACCGAGTGGGACTCACCGCAATATTATTATCTTCTACCTTGATCCGTACTTTCTTTTACAGTGCATCCCCCCCCCTCCCTCCTAAATGTAAAACCGAGTAAGTAGCCTCCCTCCCGGTAATTACGCTGAATTATATTAACATTCCCTGGATACCTTCAATACGTCTCTCTCCTCTTCACTACACCCCTTCCTAATCTTTCTTAATAATTTTTACTCGGCCCTCCACTTTTCACATTTATCTTCCGCCTCCCCCTCCCCCTCTATGATGTATCATTAATAACACTACACGTCGGGTCGAAAGATAAATTAACGCGAGAAAAATTTGACAAAATTTGCAATTTTTTATTTTCCAAGATAAATATTCAATCTAACCTTACTTCTTTAATGTATGCTAATTTCGGGCCGAGGAGGTGAAGGAATTAATATTTTACATTTTTTAGCCTTGAATCTTGAAATTCTTGGACAGAAGTTAGTTTTTAAGAGGGCCTGTAGAAAGCAAAAACAATTTTCATTTCCCATAGATAATTTAGCCTTTTTTTTAATATCTTAGCTAATTTTGAAAGTTTTGACAGTTGGAATTTTGACTGACATAATTTCTGTTAAATTTAATTTCTATTTTTTGTAACTTAGCAGAAATTTGTGTTTGATTTTTCAAGCAAGGTTTATGAGGGGAACGAAGAAATTAATTAGACCAAAGCTATAAAATTTCGTCGCACGCAATCGAATAACATTGTAAGGGTTCAAAGCAGAAAGCGAAATTAATATGTAGCTTGCATGCGTTTTGTATTGTATCTTAAAAATATTTTGTTGATTCGAAATTTAAAAACTTGTTTTTAACATCGTTAATTGTTTGAAATCAATAATTTGTTTGATCTTTTCCATCTGTTAATAATTATTAAATAAACTATGAAGGTTTATTAATATTATAATATATATGACATTATGACATATTTTTTCAATTTTGAAGTTTTCTGGCATTAAATTTTTTATCAAAGAGTCCTCGAACGAAAACAACGTGATCGTTTAATAATTTGAAACATTTTCCAAATTTGAAAATACAGATATTTTACCAATATTTAATATATCCAGTGCTCATTTGTATTCAGAAGCCAGGTTTCAGTCGTAGAATATTAAAATAGGGACTAAAATATCAACCTAACTTTATGTAACCACACGCGGCCATTTTACAAAAGAAAATAATCTTGTAACCATGCAGACGAAGAAAGAACCAATCTGCAAATTTTGTGAATCTGAATTGAATATTTTTCACGATTTAATTAAATGAGAATAATTTTCATTTTTATGTTTTCTAAATTCTCTAATGGAGTAATTCGAAACTGTTTAATTAAGTCTAAATGTGTCAAAAGTGGAAACGGATTAAAAAAACATCTAATATACATTCACAAGTAGATTGAAATAAGTTATTTGCGCGTGTTTTAACTCGATAAATCTAAATTGTAGAATTATACTTTATTTTAAAGGTTTTAATTATTTAAAACTTCTGAATTCTATGTCAACAAAAAAATGTCTCATAAAATATAAAATACATTTTTAAGATTTAATTTGTTTCAGGATCCCTGTCATATTGTGCAGGGGCATACAACCCCTCATCCTAGTGCAGCCAATAGTCATATTACGGCGAGCATTGAAGAGTCAGCGAGAACCGTCGCCACGGCGGGGGTTCCCGCCTCCCTAACCCAGAAATCTGTGATAGTCAGCTGTGTTGCCTGCCCGACCCTTCCGTCCCCACCTCGGCTCGCTGCTGCCCCCGAGCTTCTTGCTGCTTCTGCAGTAAATGCTGCAGCTCCTGACGGAGAAACTCCCTCTGCTGATGCCGACGCTTCTCTTGGAGATATGGTAAGGTTCTTACTCTGCCATTGTTAATTTCTTATCAATGATTTTAACAAAGATCCCTTTTTTCTTAAATCCGGTCGTTACTTGGTTTTTATTCTTTCTATTGCAAAAATAATTTGTATAATCATGTTTTGTTCAGGGCCAACACAAAAATGCAATCTCTGATGTATGTTCTTCCAATGATCTGGAAAGGGTGGAAGGTTCCTGCAGCTTGTCAGATGGTGCTCCTCACACTGCTGAGGGTACGCCCCCTTCCAGCCACGCCCTAGCCTCACCTCAATCTGTCTATATAACCAAGACTGTGAAAACCCCTAACTGCGACATTCCGGGCCGGTGCTCCGGCCAATCTGTCCTTGACGACTGCGCCGCCGCGTCCGTCTTAAAATCAAGCTTTAACAAAGCGGCTGTTTCAACTGCTACTTATTATCCTAAAACCGCCAACGGCGGAGCCAAAACTCGTCTTTCCACGGAGGATTACCGCCGTCCCCTGACCGCTTGGAACCTCCCTCCAGGCGGCGGGCTGCGCGGTGGCGCACCTCAGCCAGGAGAAACCTCAGCCATATCTAACGGAACATCAGGATGGGGCCCACCCCCTTCAACTGGACACACCAGTAATGTCGGGGGATGGGGTAACGCCCCTCCCACCTCCTCTGGACCTGTGAGTGCCTGGGGTAGTACACCTGCCTCTGCTAACCCTGAAGAAGTAACGAATGGTCAGAAATTGCTCAACTCAGGTCTTATCTCAACCTCTCCCGGTCAACCAGGTATAGATCAGCTGTTATAACTGTGGAATAGGAAGACGAAATTAAAGCATATATTAATTGTATTTGATGTCGTTACAATGCAAATCATTATACTTGCAACTTAATAAAATCCTATTTAGTAAAAGGGCCTGTTTACACTGCTCAATTGTTCTGTCTTACATTTACTTGACTATATAATGCTTTAAATTGCGTCTTCCCATTCCTGAGTTTTTTGGTTCTCACAGTAATAGCTCAGGGTTTTAATAAGATTCAGCCAAATTCCCTTCAAATATAGGTTATGTACAAACACTTCAATATTTAGCATCGAAGAGGACGGAAAATTTATTTTATATTTTTTATTTTTTCGAACCAAATCTTTTTATAGGATCTATCCCAGCTGGTCCAAATACACACACCCAGAACACAAACTTGGGCCCCAATCCTTTGACTCAGAATATGGGCCCGAGTACCATGGGAATGAACCAGAATCTGGGACCAAGTCCAATGGGTCAAAACATTGGCTCTAATCCAATGGGCCAAAATCTTGGACCAAACTCCATGGGTCAGAATCTGGGACCAAGTCCCCTAGGACCTGGAATGGGTCCAAGTCCTGCCCCTGCTAGTAACACTAGCTGGGCAGCAGCTGCTGGTAAAGGACTTCCACCCTCAGAACCATCACAAGCTCACGGCGCAACCAACAAGCAGCTCGAGCAGCTCAACTCAGTTCGTGAAGCTCTCTTTTCTCAGGTAGATTTGCCAATTTTTAATTTTGTCAAAAATAATTTTTTCTGTCAGCCTCGCTTTAATGGAGGCTGCGGCTCCAACTAAGCTTGTTACGTTGAAATTAATTTCTAAAGATTCCGTTCAGCTTCTCACAGCTCTCTCTTTCTTTCTGCCTTTCTCTCTCTGACCTTTCTCTAAATTTGCTCTCTGAACCTGTCGTTTTCTCTCTCATCATTATTATTTAGGCTTCAGTTCAAGAACAGTGAACTAGTTAATAGTGAAATCAATAATTTGTGAAATATTTAGCCACTTTTTTATTTCCAGTATATTTTCTTAATCAAGAGTTATCTTTTTTTTTACTTTCTTTCATTACATTTTCTTAAATTGCTTAGGGCTCTCCCCTGCACAAAAAAAAAGCTTATAGAAATTTGTGTAAATGATATTTTGGCTATACAAATTGTTCTTTCATAATTGATTTTGAACATACGATAATCAGATGCAGTTTTTATCCTTTCTTTTTTAACATAATTCTAAAAGCGTTAATGATTATTGATTCAAAGAAATGCTTAGTCTGGCTTGAGTTTATTTGCGAGAAGTAGCGTCAAAAATGCGGCTTTAAATAAATCAATTGTTTAATCTCGTATAGTTTAGTATACTAGTTTTTTTTTAACAGGACGGGTGGGGAGGACAGAACGTAAAGCAAGATACTAGCTGGGATGTTGGTGTAGGGGGACTACTGGAACCAGCTGCCCCCCCTGTACCCTTGAAAACGGACGCTATGCAGTGGCAGCCTGCAAATACAGGCAGGAATGATGGAACAGATCTCTGGAAATCTACTTTGTCGGGTAAGTTAGTCAGCTAAAAAGAAAAGTAAATTTTTAGTTTATATTTGATTAAAGTTATTTATTTGTGGAAATTGTTATAAAAGTTGTTCTGAAAAAAATCTTATTTTTTTCTGTATTAAGGCGTTCCACAGCCTGCTAAGGTGGCTTCTGCCACGCCCTGGGGAAACCACACCCCCGCCCACCCTGCCGACTATAAGACCTGGGGAGAACCTGACGAGGATCCTAGTGGAGGTGGAGGGGGAGGAGGAGGAGGATCTGAAGGACGTGGTTCAACCTGGGCCGAGGATAATTCAGTATCAGCTCCTCCACCTTGGGACGCAGATCAAGGTAGGAGATCATTATATAATTAAAGAGGGATATATTATTGGAATTAGATATTAAACCCATTTTCCTGCTTTTTAGTAGATTTAAAGCAGTTCTAGCTGGATATTTAGGATATGTGTACTTAAACTCAGATAGATTAGAGAGAAGCTCTTGTTGAATATAAGACATGTGTGTAGGTAGAGTACCTTGGATAGAGTAGTTCTAACTGGATATCAGGATATGTGTACACTACAGTACCTTGGATATATGAGAGAGTAGTTCTAACTGGACATTTGGATATGTGTATACTGTATACAGTACCTTGTATAGATGAGAGAGAGAAGCTCTATCTAGATATCAGAATATGGTTACACTGTACAGTACCTTGGATATATTATAGTAGTTCAAACTGGATATCTAGATATGTGTACACTGTATACAGTACTTTGGATAGATGAGAGAGAGAAGCTCTAACTAGATATCAGGATATGTGTACACTGTACAGTACCTTGGATATAAGAGGGAGTAGTTCTAACTGGACATTTGGATATGTGTATACTGTATACAGTACCTTGTATAGATGAGAGAGAGAAGCTCTATCTAGATATCAGAATATGTGTACACTGTACAGTACCTTGGATATATGAGAGAATAGTTCTAACTGGACATTTGGATATGTGTATACTGTATATAGTGCCTTGGATAGATGAGAAAGAGAAGCTCTAACTAAATATCAGGATATGGTTACACTGTACAGTACCTTGGATATATTATAGTAGTTCAAACTGGATATCTAGATATGTGTACACTGTATACAGTACTTTGGATAGATGAGAGAGAGAAGCTCTAACTAGATATCAGGATATGTGTACACTCTACAGTACCCTGGATATATTAGAGAGTAGTTCTAACTGGACATTTGGATATTTGAACACAAGATTAGAGATATATATTTATATATATACATGGGTAGAAAAAGTATATACTTATTGGGTTAATATTGGTTTATTTGCTCATTGTTAAATAATGAAAAAAAAGACTGTGTTGAAGATGAAGATGAAAAACAGTTTAGAAGAAGAATAAAACCCTGGTTTAGTATGTCAAGGTTGAGGGATGATGTATGCCTACAATTGAAATTAGTCTACTGTAAACATTCACACTTTTGTTTCACATCCGCCTTCGTACTTTCTATTCTCAAAACCTCTCAACACTTAACCCTTCTACTCTTAATTATTTTTATTATTTCATATCCCCCCCCATGCCGTCTCAATTTTAAGTGGTTCAGTGGTGTTTTCATTTTAGAAAATAAAGAGCTTTCTGGGAATAATACGATTAAACAATATATCTTTTTATTAACATCATGTTAATAATTTATTTTTCCTTGACCGACATGGTAAAACATGATTTTGAGGAATGGGAAGGAAATAATTAATAATTGAGGCAGATTTGTCTTTAAATAATGTTAAATGGACTGCAAGCGTAATTTAAGTGATCCTTCATGCGAAAATGGCAATTTCCGTTTCACAACTGCAGTACCCTTAAAATCTTAATCTATCTTTTAATTCTGATAATTCCTACATGTTTTCCTGCAATAGAAATGCGCAAGTCACTTTCATAAAGAAACCAGAATTAAAAATAATTTGATTCAATATTACGATCATGAATGTCAAATTCATGTTTGATCAAGCTTTTAATGGTACGGTTGTAAATCGGACATGCCACTTTATTGATGAAGAGTCAATTGAAAAAATAAAAACACCAATAGACACATTAAATTATTTTTTGGTGTGTATGGGTTGTTCCCCCAGATTCTGTCAAGACTGTGTGAGTAACTATTTACCCCTATGGATATATTTGGCAATATAACGGTATAATGAATAGAAGTAATTACTAGGAACAAGGGACAATACCAATACCAGATTTCTAATTTATCTTTTATTCGGAGAGGACAAAAGAGTTCCCGATCTTATCACGATATGTTTCACTACCTGTACAATGTACATACAGTCCAGTTGATATTCACTGTACCTCGGCTTGTGCAATGTACTTTTTAATTACATTATTTATTAATTTTTTCAACTTCACACTTTATTAAAAAGAATTATACTAAACATGTTTCACGCCTCATGACGATCCTCAGCAGTCCAAATTCTTTGAACATATATATATTTGTGTAAATTGTAGTAATCTCTGTTTGATTGTTTGTATGTCTGATCATAACTCACGAACCCTTTTACCAATTTGCTTTAAACTTGTATGGGGAACTCCTTAGAACTACAGGAAAGTTCTTAGCTTGAATCAAAGCTTCAAAGTTAAATAGGTTGACTTATAAAGGTGAAGTTTAGTGTGCAGACATAGCTGGGTTTCCAACCTAGGTTTGGATTAAGTAACTTACCCTGCACATAGTTTTAAAGAAATATCCCTTCTTTCTCCAGGCCTTTCTCCCTTCTTCCTGGTTGGGTAATCATTTTTAAAAGCTGTGGTGGGAGCCATACAAATATTATATTCAGGGGTTCTTTATTTCCTCGGTGGAAGGGAAATAATTCATCATGAACACATATCCGGGTCTGGATAATACATCTTGAGATATTATGTATTGGTATGATTAATCAGAACTAATTTCTTTAATTTCTGTTCTTTTTTCCTTCTTTTTCTTCTCTCCCGCCCCCCCCCCCCCCCCCCCCCCCCCCATCTTAATTATTTTTGTCGAGTAAGTGTGAAATCATTAAAAATGAATGGAACCTGCATGCTGGATCCTCAATCACGATTAATTTTGTAATTTTGAGAGCCAGGGGCGTAGTCAGGAATTTTTCCAGGATAGGGCTTAAACTTTTTTGTTCTTCTGGACTGAAATCCATTGATTCCAGTCCAGAAGAAGGGGGCTGAGCCCCCATAGCCCCCCTGAATACGCCTCTGTTGAGATCCATTCTAGACAGAGGTACAGAAATACAGGGATATTTAGATATTTTACTACAGCGCTTTCTCTTGTCGCTATAAAATCTATATGTAGAATTGTAGATACATTTAGATGCATGGATACAAATCTGCGTATATAAACTGAGGTATAGGGAAAAGGAATGGACACTTTTTCAAATGAATGAATAGATTGCTTTATAGGTCCTGGCAAACCTAAAGAAGAGAACAATGGATGGAACAACTCTGGAAACCAATGGAGTGGCGGCGGTAACGGCGGTCCACCCGCCGATCCTCGCCGAGATCCTAGCTGGGGTCCACCACCCGTTAAACCCGTGGGCGGATCATGGGGTGGTCAGCCACAAAGAGAGCAGTGGCACACTGATAGTCCTACAATCGGCCGACGTATGGACGATGGAGGTAAATATTTGGACGATTTCTTAATTCTACCACCTACCCCATTTAGAAACAATTAAAATTAAGAGCAACGAAATATAAATCTAATCTATTGGTTTCACGTTATTCTCTCATTGCTTGTCCGACGTGTTTACATGTTAAAACTACTTGTGTAATTTATTTAAACTACACAATGTGTCATTTTTTATATTACACAATGTTTATGTCGTCGCAAAACATTTCATCTAGATCATTTCGATATTCGTATAATATGTCGTTAAAGCCGTTTCTTTTGCTCCCGCGTTACCTAGGACTGAGGGGGGGGGGGGGGTGCAATATTTGCAATGAACTGGAAGGCTTAAAACCTCCACGTGATAAACCGGTTCATTTCTAGAACATAAAGTATTATAGATTCTAGTTTATTTCTGTTTAGTTAGATACATTTTTGATTATTGTTTGTATTCTTGAATAGAGGATCACATGGCTTCCATCTATTTATCTAACTATCGTTCATCAAAGATAAAGAAGATATTTGTTTTCTGATTGACCTTTGCCTGTTTGTTCATATAAAAAAGTTTTAATTTGTATTTTTAATTCTTGAAAATCTAGATTTTTTTACAAGGAGGCTTGGAATTCACGTTGTGGAAATTCCTGATTTTAGATACGCAGTTTTAAAGTCTATTACGCATCATTGCTTAAATGCTGTACTTAAAGACAGGAATGGGGAGGGGAGGGGGAGAAATTTCAAAAAGAGCAACTTTAAAAAATTTCATTTTAATTCAAGTTCAATTTCCTCTGTCAATTAATTTAAATATACCTGTTGTAAAGTAAGCCTTGTATTAATTAAACTAATTGGATTTTGTTCAGGATGGAAGGATATGCCTATACCCAACATGGGAAACCGTGGAGTACCTCCTGGTCCTCCTTCCCGCCTACCCCCTGGTCCTAGTATGAAACAGGGAGATGTTAGTCCTTGGGGTCAACCCAACCCTGGTCGCAGCTGGGGAGAGGATGGAATGAACTCTGGAATGAATTCTGGAATGAACTCTGGAATGAACTCCGGGATGAATTCTAATCCCTGGGACGCTGATAAAGGTAGGGACATGGGTTGGTCTGCCGGTGGGGATACATGGTCTGCCAGGAAACCTATGCGTGGATCTCCTAGCTGGGAGGATTCTGGAATGGTATCTGATGGAAGATGGGGTCCAAGCCGGCCCCCAGTTAGTAAGGAGGCTGTGTGGAACAGTAAACAGTTCAGGTTACTCTGTGATATGGGATTCAGAAAGGAAGACGTAGAAACTGCACTTAGGAATACAAGCATGCAGCTTGACGATGCTCTGGAGATGCTGAACCAGTCCCGCGGAGTCAGTATGCCCAACCGTGGCATGCCTCCTGGGGATCTTGGTTTCCCAGGTCCCAGAGCAGATCCTAGTTATGATATGAGGTATCCTGGCCAAGGGATGCCTCCCTACCCTCCTGGAGATATACCTCCTACTAATCCTAGTCTACAGAACAACCCTAGTCGGGGGGGAATGAACCCTGCACTTGTACAACAAATGTCTATTGGAGGCGGGCCCGCTCCTCATCCCGGCGCCCCGCCTAGACCTTCTCAGTCAGGCCCGCCCAGCACCAGTCAGCTGAGACTGCTTGTTCAGCAGATTCAAATGGCTGTACAGGCTGGTCATCTCAACGCTCAGATCCTGAATCAACCCTTGGCTCCGCAGACGCTTCTGCTTCTTAACCAGCTTCTTCAGCAGATCAAAGCACTGCAGAACTGTCAGCATCAGCATAATATGGCGCAGGCCGCTGGACCCCGTGGTACCGTATCTCCCAACCATGTTCTTCAAATCAATGTGCAAATTACCAAGCACAAACAGCAGATAACGAACCTTCAAAACCAGATTACAGCGCAGCAAGCACAGTATTTAAAGAACCAACAACCTCAACATATGGGTGGTGGTCTCCCTGGTCCTCCAGGCTCAGAAAACGAACTCAATATTAACCTTGGCAACATGTCAATTTCAGACCAACATACTGGATCCAAGCTCAATAAATGGATTAAAAACGATAACAATGATCCTGACTTTAGCCGTGCTCCTGGTAGCAGCAAGAGTAGCACAAGTCAACCCTCTCCAAACCTTCTCCTGGACAGTGGTAGTACCTGGTCCAACGGAAATAATGGTGCAGGCTCCGGCTGGCCTGACAGCAACAATGACAAGAACAGCAACAACGCTGAGGATCCGGATAATTTCGGAATCCCAGAGTTTGTACCTGGCAAGGCATGGAAAGGATCTGGGATCAAGGACCCTAGTGAGGATCCTACACTTACTCCGGGTAGTGTAGCAACTACGCCTATTATTCTACAGCAAGGAGAGAAACCTTCTCTTTCCGCCAACTCTGCAACCACGGTTGAGAATAGTCTTGGACTCACCTCCACAACCTGGAGCTTTGGATCCAAGGATCCTACTGCTTCCAAGATGGATGGAGGTTGGGGAACTCTACCACCTTCCAGCTCATCAACCAACCTCACTGCAATGGGACAGGATCTCTGGGGACTCTCCAGGACTGGAGGAGCTCCTAAACCTGCCAGCTCAGGTTGGCCTGGAGTCTCTTCAGGAGCTTCTAACGGTTGGAGTAACGGGACGAATATGCCTCCTAGCTCTGGATCTGCATGGTTACTGCTGAAGAATCTAACTGCTCAGATTGATGGAAGCACTCTGCGCACACTCTGTATGCAGCACGGTCCTCTTAACAACTTCCATCTTTATCTTCCTCACGGGATTGCCCTGGCTAAATACAGCAATGGAAGCGAGGCCAAAAAGGTAAATTTGTGTTCAACTTATTTGATCTATATATTGCAAAATTAAATGTAACTTTGAAACTTATTTCCATAATATTTGGCTTCAGCATCCGCAAATTATTATTGAATAATTGTAAATGCTAATGCTTTGCACATTTAAATAATGAATAGTTAGCTTCACATACAATAATATATATTTATCGTTTACTTTTGTTTAGGCTCAGAACGCTTTAAACAATTGTGTGCTGGGTAACACTACCATCCTGGCTCAAGTGTCAGATGAACACGAGGTGGAGAATATTGTTCGTACTCTTTCCCAGGCTGGAAACCAGACTAGGAGTTCTCAACCATCTACTCCCTACTCTTCATACTCCGCTCTACCTAAATCTAGCTCTATCGACTCATGGAGCGGAGGTCTTGGCGGCGGCTCCAACCTTTGGTCTTCCTCTGGGCTCGGAGGTAGCGTGTGGGGTGCTCCGGATGACCAGCACAACCGGACCACACCTCTCACCTCCTACCTGCCCCCTGATCTTCTCAGCGAACCAATGTAAAGGATCAAGGTAGCAGAAACAGTAAGGATAATCTGACAAAGGAGTTTGTGTGACCTCCTCTTTATTATCTGATGATATACGTCTCGCATTATCAAAAGCCATATTATACTCAAAAGACGAACTACGAGATAGGAGCCTTTTCATTTTCTAGCAATGTAAGGGGTCAACTAATTATCATTAATTCAAGTATTCTACCCAGCCTTCAATAAGAACAAAAATATGTTATATGTTGGTAGCTATAAGCACAATATGCCAAATTGGTATTGAGGGGGTTAGTCCCCAAACTCTACTCCCTCTACCCCCTTCACGCTGATAACTCGGTAAACTTGTCCTTATTTTCTCTCTTCAATCAATCAATCACTATCCAAACAAGTTCAATGATCTTCAGGATAATAAGTCCAAGTTATCATGCTTGTGGTAAATATGCTGTGAAATCATGTGACGCTATCAAAATTGTATTTTAGCGCGACCTGCTGTATCCTCGATATATATCTAAAAAAATTCCTTTCAAAAATGGTGCAAAAAAGGACCTATCAGCTTCGTCGACATTTTGTCGCGGGGCCCCTTTTATGGATGATCATTTTCAGTCATTTATTTTCCATTTAATTCCTGTATACGATGTAAGTAATTCTAGTTCTCTTGATAATGATTTTTGCTTTTTTCAATGATATATATCCTGTGTAATATGTTTATAAACTCATTTTGACAGAACCAAATTCTATTCTAAATATTTTTAATTAGAGGGGGGTGCTCCCAGCCACCTCTTGATTTAACGTGCTGTGTATCTTTATTCAGTAGAGTCAATATTTAGCATTATGTTTAGTCAAACTCCCATTAGACCTAGGACTCCTCTTCCTTTATAGAGGGGAGTCATAAACTGTAATAGTGTTTGGACTGTCCAGACGTCAATTTATTACTTGGCATATAGAAATGATATGTGTGATATTTAGACTGGTTTAATATATTCCATCTTTTCTATGGGAAATATTTATCATTGTATACGCGCCTCTTCTTAAATTATACAATACTTAGTGAAAGATTGAACCTATGGGTTTATATCTAAAAGATTAAAAATCTCAAGTACAGCCAAATTAAAACCAAACTGTGAATTAATTAAGTCAGGATACAGGGCTTCATCATTTAAAACTTCAAATATTTCTCTTGACAATTTTATTAAAAATATAAATGTGAGATTTCTAATTTTAAACGTAAAACTTGATATTTTAAATATTGTACCAATATTGAGGCGAAAGTTGCGCTTTCAGACTTGTAATGCTATTCCTGCATTCTCGAATACTTGTATTCGGTTTGCCGCAAAACTTTCGAGCACAATGGAACCCTAATGGCATTGGAATCACTGTAATTGCCAGTATTTGATGGAACGGGAGCCATAGCAATGGCAAAAGAGCAATATTAAATTCCCTAATCCAGTGCACAAAATAATGGACAGAACGGCATATCATGGTTTTTATAAATGTCAAAATAAGTGGAAAATGTGATTGTTAAAAACTTAGTTAACTCAATATTCAGCTGTGACTGTTGTGTCAGGAGAGACTCAAAATTGATCGATTGATTTATTAAAATTGATTGATCAATAATCAAACCATGAAAATAGCCCCGGCTATAGCTAGCTAACAGGCCCAATCACTTACAATGAGAGATCTCACAAACCCCCCTTGGCTTGTGTTAGCTAGATGAGATTAAAAAATTTTGGTTGTGTTTTCGCCATAACTTTAAACCTACGTAATGCAAATTTGGAATATATATTATATTTGAAAAAAATGAATTCAAAAGCTAACAAAAAAAAAGCGCTCTACTAATATGTGATAAAAAATATGTCCCGACCTTATTGTGTCGAAATATGTGTTCACATTGCAATTTATTTAAACAACTTATACAGGTGATAACGCAGCCAAAAACCAATTACTATAAACCCGCTGCTTTTTAACATCAGATCAAGGGTTTTCTTCAATGTAATAACATATCAGATGACATGGCTCTGATTTTAATCAAAATTTCGATCTTAACTCTTCACCGGCCATTGTCGGGACGAGTTTTCTTAGTTCTTTTGAACACGTTCAAGTAATATGCCACATCAATTGTTATAGAACTTTTTCATGCAATTTTTTAATTTCCCTTAAACGTGCCATATACCTATCAGCTTTAAATGTGGCATGTTATTGAATATTTGCAATTATGCTTCGTGCTCCGGAGACTGATTCTAATATGTTATTTAATTTCTATTTTTTTCAAATTCTGTAATTTGTCTTCTGTGTATTCAAAACTAGTATATAGCGGGCAGACCCTATCGTGAATTGTTCGAGCGGATCTGCCCACTGTTTGGCTGGTTCAATAGCAATCTAGGCTGGGTAGTCAGCTGCTCCAAGCTGCGGCAGCATAAAGCTGGTTTGATCAGCTGTGCAGCTGCCACAGCTGCTGCCGAGGCAGGAGGGAGCAGCTGACTTGCCTGGCTTGGGGGCCGTGAAAGGTAGAATGTTGAGATTTCTATTGAGCGAAAGGGGATTTAAAAATAATTATTGTAATGCATAATAATATATAAATAATCTGTAATAATCTCTGTATTTGTTTAAACATTACTTCCAACAATTTCAACCCAAAACTTTATTGAAAAAATGATTTTGCGGTCTGATTTTTCTAGTCACTTGTTTTTTTTAACATGCATCTCCGAGTATTTAAGCGATAAAAAATTTGAATTTAATCAAAAGAGCACCCTTGTCACCATTTGGAACTTTCAAACTGGAATTTGCAATCCAACACCAAAGACAATTTTGATATTTGGCCTAAAATCTATTCTACGAAACCGTCGATATTTTTCAAAATTTTTGTGTGCCAAACCTGTTACCTTAAACTACGGCTGAGATAAATGTTCAAATTGCCAATATTTTGATTAATAGTAATGATTGCCTTCTCACTACGGTATGAGCTTATATTGTGGCGTGATAGTATGCTTTTGGATTAATTCTTCCTTTTAAGTATTAACGACTTCTTTATTAACTTGCTCACTCCACTTCATTTCCTCATTTTTACTGAATTTGATTATATTTTTCTATCTCCCAATAGGACTGTATAGGTATATTTAGACATAGAAATATTTAAATCTGTGATTTTTAACAATTTATAAAGAAAATTGCATTTCTGGGTGTGTCAGTACCATGGTCAATGCAATGTTTAAAAAACAATTTTCTCATTTTTACAAAATTTACTAAATTTGGTTAAATAACTTTAAGGGAAATTTTAGAAGAAATGGAAAATTTATTAAACTTTTGATGTGTGCATAGCTTTCTTCCTTGAAGGGAGTATCATTAGATCTTGAAAAATTGATTGTAATGAATTTTAAACGCCAATATTATGTAAGCATCTAGTTATAGAATTTAAATTTTAAGTCGTTAAACATTTAACATTTTTGTCAAATTTCAAATTAAATTCTCGCCGTTTCTTTCCAAAAAATAGAATTTTAAATGTTAAATGTAAAAGATATTTAACGAATTGTACAGTTTATGGTTTAAGGATATGTGTAACCCCCGCGAAAATGGCCCAATCCGGCCCCAATTCAATCTTGCAACAATTAAAGGATCAACTGTACTCAGAAGCCGGATCGGGTCATAACAGCCTATATTGCACTTAGGCTTCTCACTTCACCGATATATTTTATCCATCTATTTATTTAATTATGTTGGGATTAGTAATTATATATATATTTACAACATGCTTGGTTTTCCTATTCCAGAAAATGAACCAAATTTGCATGGAAACTTAATATCGGTAAATGTCCCTCAGATGGCCATGATGCCACTGACAACTAAATTTATCGGGTCTTCTTCTGGTTTCCATGACTTGAAGCATAAAAGTCATCGATTTTATCATTGCGATATGCTGCAAACTCAAAGAGGCAATAAATGCAAAATATATTACAATTTTAGAAATGAAAAAAATATCTTTTAAAAGACAAAGCTATTTTGATTATCCTCTTTTTTGTTATATCCTTAATGCTGCGAGCAAACATTTCAAAAGTCATTTCAAAACAGCTTAAGTACTTTGAAAAGCTTATCCTCCGCATTAATGATTAGTTACCTGAATCGTCTTCCTCAATAAGGCGCCAAAAATTGTCAAGATTTGTCCTTCCGATGACTGCCCTCCTTAATTGGGGCAATATTTGTCAGCTCATACTAGATCATAAATTAAAAACCATTGCCAAACTAAGTTTGCCTTTTAATCTGCAAGTACTTGTATACATTTCCCCTGATTTATTTTAGAAAATGCGCAACCGTTTCAGAGCCACCAACATAGCGGTCTAGGGTAATGTTGCGCATTTTCAAATTGTTAAGTGATATTATCCTCGTCGTTTAAACACAAACAACCAAACTAAGAATTCCTCGGATGTCCGGCAGCGTGTGAATGATCTCGCTACACTTCGCCTCAAACTCTGTGATATTCGCCAACCATTTGGCTAACTGGTGAAACGGGGTAGCACCGCCAGGGAGGGCCGTATCTCAAATTTGTGATTTTTAAATATTTGCATTTTTACCATCTTCCGCCTGACAAATAAGCTTGTTAACTCTCCCTGGTGCGTTGTTGCCCTGTACATTTCTCTGTTGTCTAGCTAAGGTCTGATCTCCGTCCCCGGCCGAGGTCTTCAAGGAAGACACCATGTTGGATCTCAGTTTGTGTTTGAACGGATTCCAACTCTCTGATAATCTGAGCTCAAATTCATTGTTTTCACTCTCAGTTTGGGCATGTTTCTCTTACACCTGTAATATGCACCTGTACAAATGTATCCTGAAGTTTTGTCATGGGTTGGATTGTTTACCATTGGTTTCTCTCAATCCATGCCTTCCAACCCGGTCTCAATACTTCAGGTCCAGGATGGATCTTACAGTTCTGGGTATTAATACATAAGTATATATATCATATATACAATACAACCATTTTGGCAATTATTAAGAGAACTATTGATAATGATTGAACCTAACATTTAGAGACCGTTAAAATATTTGTCTTTCAATGAATATTTAAAGATCGTACCCGTCTAGTATATTTATTTATATATATATATGTACGGTTGTTATCATGTTTAATCTTAATCTTTGACTTGGTCTTCTCTACTACATGTATCTTACACAGTTCAAAGAGCTTAAATCTTCCCTTTAAACTTACACAAATTAAGGTTGTTTTTCCTAAAAGCATTTTTCAAAAATTGTGATAATTATTGAGATTGACCACAAGAGACCAGAATGGAAAAAAGTTTGTTATGAATTGCTTTTTGTCTTTTCTGCATAAATTTCAATATATTTTGTATTTATAACCGAGAATTGTTTGTAGTCGTATTTTGCAATGTTAAAAACCTGGCTGATTTCGGATTCTCTTTAGATCCGGAAATTATATGTTTCAGAATCCCAAGTGCTTTTACATATATTCGTAGTGTAATAATAATACGTGTGGACAGTTATAATAAATATTTTTTGTGAAATATTAGTTTAATTAGGAGAGAGACATGACATGATGTGACATTATTTTGAATTTTTGAGGGGTGAGGACAAAGGAAGTAAATCTGTAGGGATGGATGGACCAACACGAGCCTTCTTTTTTAAAGGTACTTCTAAAGGGAAGTATTGCAACGAGTTTAAGAAGGAATTTAATATTGCAAGGGATATAAAGGAAGTGAAGATTTCAAGGGATATAAAGGGAGTAAAAATTGCAAGAAATGTAAAGATTACAAGAGGTATAAAGAGAGTAAATATTTCAAGGGATATAAATGGAGCGAAGATTACAAGGAATATAAAGTGGGTATGATTTCAAAGAATTTAGAGGGAGAACAAAGTGTGAGGAATAAAAAAAGAGTAAAGATTGCAAGGGATAAAACGGGAGTAAAGATTACAAGGAGTATAAAGGGAGTAAAGACTATATCCCCTGTAAACTTTACTCCCTTTATATCCCTTGTAACCTTCCCTTTCTATCCCTTGTAACCTTTAATCCCTTTATATCCCTTGCAGTCTTCACTCTCTTTTTATCCCTTGCAATCTTTACTCCCTTTATATCCCTTGCAATCTTTACCCCCTTTATATACCTGAAATCTTTACTCCCTTTATATCCCTGAAATCTGTACTCCCTTTATAACCCTTGCAGTCTTTACTCCCTTAATACCCCTTGTAATCTTCACTCCCTTTTTATCCGTTGAAATCTTTACTCCTTTTATAACCCTTAGGGATATATAGAGAGTGAATATTACAAGGGATATAAATTGGGAGTGAATATTACAAGGGATATAAAGGCAGTGAATATTACAAGGGATATAAAGGCAGTGAAAATTACAAGGGATATTAAGGGAGTGAAGATTACAAGGGATATAAAGGCAGTGAAAATTACAAGGGATATAGAAGGCAGTGAAAATTACAAGGGATATTAAGGGAGTGAAGATTACAAGGGATATAAAGGCAGTGAAAATTACAAGGGATAGAAGGCAGTGAAAATTACAAGGGATATTAAGGGAGTGAAGATTACAAGGGATATAGAAGGAGTAAATATTACAAGGGATAAAAAGGGAGTAAAAATTGCAAGGAATGTAAAGGGGAGCAAAGATTAAAATTTTAAAGGGAGTGAAGGTTACAAGGGATACAAAGGCAGTGCAAATCACAAGGGATATAAAGGGAACAAAGAATGCAAGGGATTTAAAGCGGGATACAGGGTTACCCACACAGGATGAGATTTCAGGTACGAATGTACAGAAATTTTACTTTGTTTTTACTTATACAAAGAGAACCAGAAAACTGTATTTAATAGAATGACGACATTAAAGTGCGTTTGATGGTGTTATAAAAAGCAACAGACGTCCTAGTAGCTAAAAAAAATTGTATTAAGTCTGTGTCCACTATTTAAAATCATAACTTGAGTCTAAATAAAAGTCGTTTTTCTAATCCACAGTTTTCTTGTTTTCACCAATTTTATAACACGCAACTCTGCATGCAACTTCTTTCTTACTTTGCCAAATCATTAAATAGGCCAATTAAAGCAGAAGACTTAATTAAACCCTGGAATCGACATATTTTAAGAGTTTCAGGTCGCCTTTATAGTCGCATTTTTTGTGGATAACTCTATATTCCTGACGCTAGATTGACAACTCTAAAGACGACCTTTTAAATCTTAAACCGAGGTAATACGATCTAGTAAGGTTTTTCATAATCTATCACAAACCTAATTTTAATTTGCCCTGCACATTTTTTTACGAATAGATTTGTTTCCTTTCTAGCTAAATAAATTAATGCTAAAATCGATTATTTAGTTTTCATTATTAATTGAATTTCTAATTTTCTTTGAATTTATTCGCAGATTTCTTCAAATTCTTTAAATGTCGTCTTTTCAATAATAGTTATAGAAATTCTGCGAACATCTTTGTGAATAACGAGAAACTAGAATAATGAGATAATAGAAACTAATAATTGAACAAGATTACTTATTTTCGATGATAAGATTAATTTTTATTTTCTCAAAATGTTCCAAAACATGACGTCTGTAGTTTATTGTAAAACATTTTTACATTTTATGTCGTCGTTAATTAATAATTTGAAAAAAAACTAATTCCGAAAGCGTATCCACCCCCAAATCAGGAGTTTTAAACGTCGAATTTGCGCTCAAACTCAGGATTTACAGATCTTTAAAAAGTGAAATATGTCTCAAATGAATTCTAAAGAAGTTTTCCACAACACTGCGTCCTCAGTTCAACTACCTTACATAGCCGGTCACTCCCTTTAAGTCCTCATATATTTGAGAAACACCTAACACCAATTTGACAAGTGAGATTAATTTTTGACTGTTCTATTATTTTATTTATTTCTATTTCACTCATTTTTTATATTTTGACCATTATGAAAGATTGAATTTGAAAAGTCTTAATTAAGCAGACGACATTTTAGAAATCCCTGGATTTGGAGAGACAAGGCTTTTCCCTACTTCAGACTTAAACGAGTACGACTGAACTGAAAATTGTCAATCCTAATGATTCCATACATGCATCTGTTAACTCAATTTGCTTCATATTGACGATTTTTGATAATTTTGATATCTACTATTCGAATGGTGTAAAATAAATCCTTCAATCATTAACTTAGCAAAAATTTAAGTTAGTTTGGGAATTTCTTTAGATTCTCTCAGATTTGGAGCTTAAGTTCTTATGTTTATTTATCGATTCATATATCGAAATAAAGCATTTTCAAAAATTATTTATAGCAAATATTTTTTTCTTCAGGTCAAGGTTACAAAAAGAAAAGAATATTATAAAAACTACCAAGTATTTATGAAAGTTAAAGTGATGTTATTTTTTGTTTACAGCCGAAATGATACAATCTGTTTTTCAATAAGATGTATTCTTGAAAGGTTAGAAGAATTAAACTGTGAAGTAAAGGATTATTCCCAGTATTTGGATGGTAAACAATGAACTAAATATTGCTGGTGCTGCATTTGGTTCAGTTGTTGTTGTTGTTGTTTCGCATTGTGTATGCAGACCACCAGGGCACAAGCCATCATCCTAAACAGAAGAGATTTTAAAAATTGATTTTTAGATGAAAGATAATAAATAATTCGTTCTCTGAAATATAGACAACTCTGAAAGTTATTCATGAGATTTGTTGACAGCCTTACTTTTTTTGTAGCTCTAAGCAGTTACATTTCAAAAACCAAACGCACTTGTTTCTAGCTAGGGCTGGGCGCGTTAACGGTGGAACGATCGTTCTTTGCCAAGAACGAACGGAACGATCAAGAACGATCCCATCGTTCCGAAAAAAACGAACGCTTAGAACGCGTTCTTAAAAATATTGGAACGATTTGTAAAAGAACGGAACGGAACGGAACGGGAATTGCTTGAAAAGAACGGTTCAATTCGTTAACGCGTTCTTATTATCAAGAACTTGTTCTAAGTTGGAAACGCATTTTAAATCAGGAATGTGTTCTAAATCATCTAGAAATAGTTAAAGATTTTTTATTTAATCACCCAACCCCCCTACTCCCGCCCCTCCCCCCCGCTCTCACAAAATTATACATTGCTCAGAATTATCTAAGCTTATTCTTTTAACCCTAAATCTAAAATATATAATTTAAAGTATTATTTACGGCCGTGAGGAATTTTTTATTTAAAAATTGTAATTTTTTTACTTTTTAACCAACTCTTTTCTATAAAACTTTTGTCTTTGATGTAATTGTCCGTTACTAAGAACGGAACGGGGGATGGAAACGTTCTTAATCAAGAACAGAACAAGAGGGATGCAACCGTTTTTCAACTAAGAACGCCAAGAACGGAACGGAACGGGAAGACCGTTCTTCTACTCAGAACGGAACGGAACGGAACGAGAACGGAACGATAAAAAAGAGGAACGAGAACGGAACGATTTAGGTGAAGGCCCTCGTTCTAGAACGGAACGGAACGATTTCAAAAAAGTCGGAACGTGCCCAGCCCTATTTCTAGCTTGGGTTTAAAATCACTGTTAATATTTGCTTTAGAGCGTGCGCACTTTGCGTCTTGATTTATGCAGTGCGTTTTGATCTGAGTCGCTAAAACTATTTTTTTTATTTAAAATAGCTTACCGGTACACAAGACCATGTTTGGTTAATCATATTAACATTAATACGCTCCTCCTCTTTACATGAGATATCTTGTCCGCCCCCAGGCATCTTACTGCTACAGTAAAACCCTTTTCTAAACAAAATATATGATAAAGAACGATAAACATATTTATAATTTGTTAGTTTTTGTATTTCATTTCATAGTTAAAGAGTTTGTATGGATAATTTCAAGCTGGCTTCCATTTAAAGAGATGCATCGCGGATTCACAACGGCACCCTTTAAACATTTGACTGATCTTGGATAACGGACTTTTCCTTTTTTATCTCTTTAAGTGAAGGTCACCTAAACTTAAGCTTACAATTCCTTTAAATGTTCTACTATGCGCTTTAAAATAAGATTTTTTACTATATTGTAGTGATCCTAGTGACCCTAGAAACTTGGGCTTATTCTAAAATTATTTGCGACTTTAATGAAGACTTATAAACCCTGTCTCATTCTTCGAGCCATTCTGTTTTTGTTTTTCTTCATTCGTTTCCGAAAATCAAAGACAATTTTAACGTCGTCAATTGCAACAATACCAACGTTCATTGGGACACCCTGTATAATTTTAATATTTAAACTCTTGAAATAAGACAATTTTTTAAGTCTTCTGTCTAGATTATTGTCATTCAATGAATAATTAAATGATTTAGCGAAGAAAGAAACAATTGTTTAGAGATCAAATCAAATATATATATTTGTCCCAAGCCAAAAACATAGAAAATATCATATTTTAAAACATATTTATAAACTTGAGACGGGGAGGCATTGATAGCCAGGGGCTGTTTAACACGCAGCCTCCAAGATGCAAGTAAATGTTAATTTCATACTGTCGTCTCTGAAGTCTCATTCTTTGTAGGTAACCCTGTATATTTTACAAAAATTAAGGTAATATTTAAATTAAATTATTTTAACAATCCCATTTAATCTTTAAACTAACCTGCAGTCATCATTAATCCAGAGTTGACCGTCACATTCACATTCTCCTATATCTCCGTTTCCAGGACATTCTATTAATAGATACCATTTTATTATTCATTATATTCTGTGGAAAAGTCGTTTTAAAATTTTTAAATGTGATGATATTCTGGAAAATAAATTCATCTTTTCGAAATACACAAAACAAATCATGAATAATTCATGGCAATTTTTAGTTTTTTGATAGTAATTATTTTTAATAATTTTTTTCACAAATTTTTTAATTCCAATCTTACCAACATGAAATTCTCCTGGACATATCCTGTTTAGGCCAGGTCTGGAAAAATGATTCTATTTATTGTTATATATTTGTTTAAAACACAGTTGGAATAAACTTTTTAATTCTTAATACATTAAACTTACTAAAAATATAAACACAATATAACATGTATGGATTATGTTCACATATGCAGTCGTTGTCGCATATATCAATACAATGAAGACGACTTTCAGTTTTAGTTTTGATTTATATCAAGGTTTTTGACAGCATGGGTACACATAAGTATGAAAACAAAGAGAAGCTGTCGATTAAAAAAAGCTTCTCTTTTATTATTTGTAAACTTGTAGTTCGAAAGGCTTGTAAACAATCAAAACTTATATTAAAAAGTCGTCTTCATTGTATTGATATAATCGCCTACCACTTTACTTAACATTCTGTTCCTGATTCCAAACAATATTTTCGTAATTTTTGAGGTGGTTTGAGTAGTTTAATATTTCGAACAAAATAAATTAATAAATTTTACTCACGAAAAGGATTTAGGAACACATTCCCAATCATATTTTCCAACATCAACTATAAGAATCTCGTCAGGTCTACATGATTTTATACAACCATCAGCCTTTACACCTTCAGGGAACCCAGACTCCATACAGTAGAAACCCTGCAATAGTATTCCATAATAAACAGTAGACACCCTGCAATAGTATTCCGTAATAAATAGTAGAAACCCTACAATATTATTCAATAATAAACAGTAGAAACCCTGCAATAGTATTCCGTAATAAATAGTAGAAACCCTGCAATAGTTTTCAATAATAAACAGTAGAAACCCTGGAATAATATTCCATAATGAATAGTAGAAACCCTGAAATAGTATTCCATGATAAACAGTAGAAAATTCTGTAATAGTATTCCATAATAAATAGTAGAAACCCTGCAATATTATTCAATGATAAACAGTAGAAACCCTGCAATAGTATTCCATAAAAAACAGTAGACACCCTGCAATAGTATTCCGTAATAAATAGTAGAAACCCTGCAATAGTATTCCATAATAAACAGTAGAAACCCTGCAATATTTTTCAATAATAAACAGTAGAAACCCTGAAATAGTATTCCGTAATAAACAGTAGAAACCCTGTAATAGTATTCCATAATAAACAGTAGAAACCCTGCAATAGTATTCCGTAATGAACAGTAGAAACCCTGCAATATTATTCAAAAATAAACAGTAGAAACCCTGCAATAGTATTCCGTAATAACCAGAAGAAACCCTGCATTAGTATTCCGTAATAAACAGTAGAAACCCTGCAATAGTATTCCATAATAAACAGTAGAAACCCTGCAATAGTATTCCATAATGAATAGTAGAAACCCTGAAATAGTATTCCATGATAAACAGTAGAAAATCCTGTAATAGTATTCCATAATAAACAGTAGAAACCCTGCAATATTATTTAACAATGAGCAGTAGAAACCCTGCAATATTATTTATTAATAAACAGTAGAAACCCTGTAATAAACAGTCGTCTTAACTCTTCTTTATCCTGGAAATTATAATTTAGATTTCTTTATATACATAATTATCCTCTAAAAGCAACTTAATTTATTTAAAATGTATAGATAGTTGGTTTTGAAACTTTAAGTACTGCATACTGATTTTAAGTACTGCAAACTGGTTTTAAGATTTTAGGTACTGCAAACTGATTTTAAAATTTTAGGAAAAGCAAACTGCAGTTTACCTCTGTACAGTCCTTGTTGATAAACAACTGCTTTCCACACTAAAAAACGCTTAATTAGTTTCTTAATTGTTTTTATTTATATTGTTGCCAGGCATTTAGATAAAAGTGTTCAAATTTTATAATTGTCCAATATATGATTCATGTCCTTGATAGCTATGGTTACTTTTAAATTAAAAAGCAAAGTAGTGAAAATGTCTATGGGTTGGCCGGAATTTTTTAACAGCTTGATTTTTAGAAAAAAGAAAAATTTCCCTTTGGGCAGCAAAAATTTGTTAAATTAAAAAAATGTTTTGGGCATCCTACAACTTTTGTAATTTTTGTGTAGCCAAGGACCTGTGTATTTTAGAACATAAAGCGCATTTATATTTTATGGTAAGAAGTAATTGGGAAAATTCTCATCGGTTTTTGCTTGAGAGCTTCCAATCTTTGGATCACTGTGAGCCTAGTACAAGACACTGTAAACTCATTTCAAGTACCGGGCCGACATTGAATCTGCTAGAGCAAGCTGTACAGTACATATACGGATAATTTAAGGCAAACGGGACTGTACACTAACTGAACAATACCCTTCTAGTGAAATTTATGTAAAGAAGATTGGAAGAATTATATAATTTTTACCTCACATGTTCCTAGGGTGTTGTTGGCGTAAGAGCAGAGGACTGTCGAGGATTTGGTTGTTGTACTCATAGTTGTTGTTGTTGTTGATGTTGTTGTTGTTGTTGTTGCTGCTGAACATCCAAAGTTAAATGCTCTATTTAAGCATCTTCCATCATCCTGTATAGTTATAATAAACATAATTTTATTTGATGAGAAAAATCTTTCAAACATTTTAGAAACTTATTACTCGCATCGAACTCTAATATTCTAAATCCTATATTTTTGCAACCTGATGTTGCAAACCTTAGTTGTTTGTAAATTTGACTTTGCCATTTGGTTGCAAAATATATAAGGATAAGATATTTATCAGTTCATGTGTCTGGTAAAATAAAATAAATTTTTAGCTTTTAATAATTATAAAATGTTACCTCTATACATTTCAGGCTCAAGGAAGTATTGAGGCTGAGATTTATATCCACAATTGTGTTATCTGTGCAGGTTATATTATTATTGATGAAACGGTCATTACAGGTTCTAAAAATATATATATATTTGAAGTTAATTTACTTTATAACCATATATTTTTATTATATTTTCCGTCATTAATGAGACTGTAATCGTGGATGTTACATTAAGAATTAAGGTTGTCTGCATTGATAAAAGTTTGATAGCTTTTCATAAGGAAGTTACTTTTGTTGAAAAATTTTATTAATTTGGCCCAGACTTAAGTTTGGGCCGAAAATTCAAGGTTTTCCCAGGTTACATTCCCTATTTTTATTCTTATTCAATTAGTCCCAAAAACACGCGAAATGGATCCTTTCTGCAGGAATATTTTCAGTCATATTTATATCTATCATTCTAGGTCCGTTAAAATACCGTTAAAGACATTATATACTGAGATATTGAAATACTATATATAGCCAAAAAATAAAGTATTAATTGCCAAATACGAAAAAATGACAGTAAATGGGTGATAATGTGTTCAAAAATAAGATTTAAACTTTGGCGTGTAGTAACATTACCTTGCTGTTTTGCAGTCTGCTGATACGAAGTACTGTTGAGGACAATCACATTCTCCAAACGGACAACTTTCCTCTTCACACTTCTCACAATCTAAAAACAGTAGAGCCCATCAAACTTTGGAATTGGAAGACGACATTCAGATAATTTTATTTATAGTTCAGGTTGCTTTGATATCAAATTATAGTACCAGCAGCTTATAACCCACCTTATTAATTGAAATAGGCCTGAGTACGCTGCACACTTGCTGATTTTTTGTTCATTTGAATGTACAAAATCATATTTAGAGTCTAACAGTTGTCTTTCTATAGTTATCTGTTTTATTGATCTCACTGTATCAAAATAAGCTTACTTGTACGCAAGACAACGATTGGTTATTCATTTTTATACTATATTGCCATTTTACCCATAGATATTTCATCGAGCCCATTTCTAATGTTCCCCATATTAAAACAGTTTTATGGACTCGTTTTGTACAATTTGTGACCAGTTTATCAAATTGTCATAAGCTATGTATTCGACTTTTAGTAGATCTAAGTAAACATGATTTAAGAACTGTTTCATGTAAAAATCTTGAATCTATTGCACAAGATTGTAATATACAATCTAGAAATCTAAACAAATTTTGCGTGAAACAAAATATGATATAAAATCATATTTCTTCAGACCAAGAATGGAAATCACCCATTCTTCATGAATTACTTAAAGTTAAAGAAGATAATTTTGTTCGAAACAACTTTGATGATAATGAGATCGCAACCATGATCAACTTTTTGTGTTCTGACTAGAAACTATATGTATATATTATACTTTATTCTTGTTTTTGTCTTATCATATTGTACCATTTTTCCTTTGTGTACGAAATAAATCTATAATAATAATAATATACAATAACTGGAAGTAGGCCAAATATAGATCTGGTAAAGGTAAAATAAGGCAAACCTTTTTTTTTTATTTTCATAAAAATTCATAGAGAATTGTACAACATCATTTTAATATAGAGTTGCAGTGCAGTATTTTCTTTGTTTAAAATTTCCTACTTGTAAAAATACTGAGGGATTACTGTGCTCTGCAGCATTCTTTGTTTTTATGCAGTGAGAACAAAAAAACTCTGGAGTAGGAAGACGACTTTTAGACTTAAGTAATGACTTTAAATGAGAAACAGCAATTGTGCAGTGTAAACAGACTCAATTCACTTAATGAATGCTTTTAAAGTTACTTAAACGCAAATAAACATTGATTTAATGTCGTCTTCCTATTCTACAGTTTTCTGGTTTTCACTATAACTAAAAGAAAATTCGAAAGTTAGTGGAAAAATAAATAATTCCTTTCATTTTCTCTTTTACCTGTGTTCATTTTCCCAGGACATTTTCGAGCTAAATCAATAGAATAATCAACACACCTCCAGAAACTCTCGTTTCTAAAAAATGTAAAAAAAAGTTGTGAAAGAAGATTTCTTGGGTCCTTTCAGGTAATCTTCTAAAATCTGGCGTTTTATGTATTTTTTGGAACATTTCTGGGTCAAGCTCTCACGCCAAAATCGATGAGAAGTTTGCCAATTGCTTCGCCGAAAAAGTAAAAAGTTGGAGGGTGAGCTTTTCCCTACTCTTTATCAATTTAACATAAGACATTGTGAACCATATCCCATAAACTACCCTGTTGTAAAAGTCGTCTTTGACAAACTACATCTCCATCAGACCTCCGTCCACTTTCTTCTCCAAACCAAATACTGTTCAAGGTTTCTGCATAAACGTAAACAAAATCCTCGTGCAACAATAAGATTTAAATTCGTAAAAAAATAGAAACAATTTACGCTTAAAATTCAGTGAATCATTTTGCAAACTAATAGTGAATTAATTTTTTACCAAATGAATATTTTTTTTCAGAAATTGAATAGTTTAGACTCCGATTCCAACCACTATTCCCGTACTATACGACAATAGATCGTAAGTTCATGTTTGATTCACAATAGTACCCATTTAAAATATTTCATTTATTAATTCCCATCAGTACCTTAAAATATTTCTTGGTCGATTCACAACAGAACCTTTCCTTTAAAATTCCTATTTATCAGTTTCAATAAACATTTAATTAGTTGTAATCAAATAGTTACATTTTATTCACATTTGTTCGTCAATCAAATAGTTACATTTTATTAACAATTATTATTCACATTTGTTCGTCAATCAAATAGTTACCTTTTATTAACAATTATTATTCACATTTGTTCGTCAATCAAATAGTTACATTTTATTAACAATTATTATTCACATTTGTTCGTCAATAACAATCTGTATTTTGTAGGAAACCTCGTTACTGAAATATATTTTCACCAGAAGTTATCGTCTACGTATATGTGTGGGACTCCGCCTAGAGTTTGTAATTCTTGAGAAGCGCCTTTACCTTGGAGAATATATATCCCGTTCTTACTTTTATTCTCCTACCTCCTGCTTCGAGTTGCATTGCTTTAGCTCCTATTTATCTCCATTTCGAGCCTATATCCTTTTGTTTGGTTCACAGACATGTTTTTGTACAGTAAACTGTACAGTACAGCATGTATTGTACATTGTATAGTGTATAACTGTAGATACAAACCTAGGGTCTACAAGAAGAATTTTTCCCTCACCACAAGTTATACCACACCCACTTGTACTGTTGGAGCAGTAGTAGCCCTGTAAATTATAAACTTTAAAGGACTGTACTATTGGAACAGTAGCAGCCCTGTAAATTATAAACTTTAAAGGACTGTACTGTTGGAACAGTAGTAGCCCTGTAAATTATAAACTTTAAAGGACTGTGCTGTTGGAACAGTAGTAGCCCTGTAAATTATAAACATTAAAGAACTGTACTGTTGGAACAGTAGTAGCCCTGTAAATTATAAACTTTAAAGGACTGTTGGAACAGTAATAGCCTTGTAAATTATAAACTTTAAAGGACTGTGCTGTTGGAACAGTAGTAGCCCTGTAAATTATAAACTTTAAAGGAACTGTACTGTTGGAACAGTAGTAGCCCTGTAAATTATAACTTTAAAGGAACTGTACTGCTGGAACAGTAGTAGTCCTGTAAATTATAAACTTTAAAGAGACTGTACTGTTGGAACAGTAGTAGCCCTGTAAATTATAAACTTTAAAGGGACTCTACTGTTGGAACAGTAGTAGTCCTGTAAATTATAAACTTTAAAGGGACTGCACTGTTGGAACAGTAGTAGTCCTGTAAGTTATAAAACTGTTAGCGTAATTTCAATTGATCATCCATTAATAGATTGTGGCATGTCAAATTCCCATCTATACCCACAAAAGCTTTAGCAAAAAATAGATATCCATGTTTTGTTTTTTTAAACTGTTTATTTTTATTTGTGGTTTCCACATTTTTGATGAGACTAAGGTTTCAAGGAAACTGCCGTTGTGAATCGGAATTGGTCATCTATTTTAAAAGGAGGGTGGGTCACTTGAAATTAAGATGACAGTCCCTTTAAGAGTGAGGACTTGAACTTCAAAAATTCTTGAATACGTACATAGCATTTATATTTTGTTTTATTACCATTTAATCATTTTTATTGTTTTCAAGATTAGAAGTTTAAATTAATAAAATGATAAAAACATAAAGTACGTTAATTTGATAGATGACAAATCCATAATTAAAAACAAGATAAAGTTCAAAATTACTAAATAATAAATATTTATAAGGCATTTCTAATTTTTATTGTGTAGTAATAATGATAATAATAATGATGGTAAAAAGTGACAATTTTACTCAAATATTACTTTCAAACTATTTTACAGATTTTTCATTTCATCAATTGCAGGGTAAGGTGTCAAAATTTCAAATTGGGTCTGATTTAAGTAATTTGATCACGAGACCTAAAAATGTATTAAAAGCTATAAATATCTGATATTGGCCTAAACTAAATCCACAGAAAATCGGTTTATTTTAAATATTCTTTATAGAAACATCGGATCAACATTGTTTATAATCAACCTTGCATCGGACAATCATAAAAATTTAAAGCAGAACCAATCGATCAAAAATCTATCTAAGGTTCATAATTTATCCCCTTTCCATTCTTCAGCTTCCCTCTTTTTGATTTAAGAGTTCTAGGATTTTTACAATTTTAAAAATTGAAAATGAAACCTGTGTGCAATCTTTGTTTATAAATATTTGTTCAGCGCAGCCGCATTCTCCTAGATTGTTGTTCCCAGGGGTACATTCAGACGGGGCCTCACCTCTTTAAAAAATATTTTTCCTGGCTGTGCGTTTTGCATTAATATTGAAATGTACAAATATTTTGAAACCCCGAACAGACATTTTGACATTCTAAACAAAAGTTTGACTTTTTAAATAAGGATTTTGACTTCCTGAACAGGAATTCTGACTTCCTGAACAGGAATTCTGACAGGAATATTAACTTCCTGCGCAGAAATTCTGACTTCCTGAACAGGAATTCTGATTTCCCATACAGAAATTTTAACTTTCTGAACAGGAACAGTGACTTCTTTAACAGGAATTTCGACTGCTTGAACAGGAATTCTGACTTCCTGAACAGAAATTCTGACTTCCTGAAGAGAAATTCTGACTTCCTAAAAAGGAATTCCGACAAATTAGTTCTTTGGTAAGAAAAATCATTCCACGGGGTTTGAGTTTCTAGCAGAGCCTAAATTTATAGAGTTGAAATGTTTTTTATCATGAAAACTCACAAATGATATTAACTAATCTCAAAGTAGAGTTTGAAGCAATTGTTCTTTCCTTTCCCAGGTAACAAAAGTAAGGAATTTCCTCAAATTCTCTAATTTTGGTGATAATGGGTTACCAACAAAGGATGAGACTTTAACGACGACCTATAACTCTTTAAATAAAAGGCTAGTCAAAAGACTGAACTTTCTGCCTTCAATATAATAATGACAAATTATTTGATAAGGCCCCAGAAAGAAATAAGTTTACCACTGCATAAAAATAAAAATAATTAGACTGCAAAAATTATGAAAAGTCGTCTCATGGTTGTGGGTAACTCAATTCATTGATGAAAATTCTGATTATACCTGACTACCCCTCCTAGAAGACCTAACCCAACAAGGCAGAAATAAACTAGAAATAAAACATTAGATAGATTTATAAAAAAAACTTTTAAAAAAGAACTCACAGTGACAACCAGAATAAACTCTTACAATATCATGTTAATTATTCAGAGCTGAAAACTTTAGATTGGGACATCCTTAATCCCGATCGGTTAATCTCTCATCTCTCATTGGCCAACCCAAAAAACTCTTGACCAATGAGAGAGGAGTTTTTCTTCTTGAATTAGTTAATTCCGTTAAACATTCAAAGTTACCAGTCTAGATTTGGGTTTTAAAGGCATAACCTTAAATCACTTTTAAACCAGGTTTAAACTATCTTTAAAATCCCGTGTCAGATCTCACATAGATGACCCAATATTATTAAACAAATGCATTAATTTTTAATGAAATTTGGGGGAAAGGAATTGAGTCTTGCCACAAACTCTGATTTTCTAATCACTATATCTTTGGAACCAAATGTTGCAGACCTTAGATATTTCAAACTATGAATTCTGTTAGATCAAATAATCTGATTTTGAAATATCAAAGGTTTACAACATCGAGTTCTAAAGCTATTGAGATTTAAATATTTGATTTTGTTCCAACGACTCAATTCCTTTGAGATATCTTTTCTAAATTGCAAAGAAATCTTTTTTGATGATGACTTAAACAAACCTTTAGATGCCATCGTAAGGCGACTATTAGAACTAGGAACAATAATTCTTGATAAACATTTATATAATCTTAACGGGAGCCTTGCAAAATATTGAATGTTAAAAATGTAAAAAAACTTTTTCGCGTTTTTTTACTATGCAATCTTCCAATTTGTTAAAATGCAAATATTACATACCCCCACCCCCTCCTATTTATTTTTGATTATTTTCTATCGTCCCCGTACAAATTTCTAATTTACAACTTAGATAAATTTTATGACCCGAAATTATTATTGATTAAAATTAAGCTTGTCACATATCTAAAATTTTCCAAAGTAATTTATGAATTACGTAATAGGAAATTCTAGCTAAAGTGTCAACCGGCATTGCCTGTGGAAGTCAAAAACACTTTGAAAATAAAAAATTTCGAATTTCGAAAAAAATAGTCCAAGTCATCCTATGTGTTCTTTCAAAATATTTCAGCCAATTTGGTCCAGCCTTTGCCAGTTTGGCCATCTAGAGCGAAGATTCATATAGATATATGAGAGAAAAGCTTTATTATATATATTTATATATATTAAACTTTGTTTTTATTCTACAAAAAATCACTTAAAAAATTTCATGATTTGACTTAAAGTGAAACTATGTTAAATCATGATTTGTTTTTACTCTCCAATGGAGACTCAATTTGGAAATTTGATCTACAATTCCCTAAAGAACAGTTTTACTTATTAACGTGTTTCTCTTTCCTAAAATGTCAAATGTAAAAGCATAAGTGGTTGGTAACAGCGCTATAGTCCTTTTTGCAGAGGTTGAATTTGTGACACACAAAGAGAGAAAACTCTGGAATAAGATATAAGAAGATGTTGTTAAAAGAGCACATTTACATTACAGTGGTTGATTTATTTGGTAGTTTCTTGTTTTTTGGATTTATTAATGCAATGCAATGTTTTTACAGGCGAGTTGGCCCAGACCAGACCATGTCCACTCCAGATCTTGTTCTTGATCATAAAAGTGGTTTTTGCTGTTAATGACTTTAGTCTTTCATTTTTTATTTTGTTTTTTTAGTTTTTATTTTTATTCTTAATTTTTATTTTTATTTTTCATATATTACGAATTTTCATATTCTTTAAATTTAATATTCCGAAGTAAACCAGGATTAGAATGATTGTTTGATTTACAATTAATTTATCCCAAAAAAACTAGGATGGCCATTTTAGGTATTAATGTCTGGTATTCAAAAGTTGTGAAATCTAGAAAATCCTGGAAAATTGAGTTTATATTGAATTACTATGGTTTTGTGTCATCGATGCTGGATTGGTAGATTCGTGGAACAATCTAAGAGAAATCTTGGATGAACGATGGTTGGGAGACCTAAGCCCCAAGTTTCCAGAAGAAATTCTGCGCCTATACATTTTTCGAAATGTGTACTAATAACATATAAAAAGCTAATAGCTTTAAAAGTAACTTATTAAATCACTTATTAAGTAAAACGTGTCTGTATACACTGCACAATTGCTGTGTCTCATGTTCATTAAACTATTTAAAGTCATAACTTGAGTCTATTAAAAGTCGACTTTATATTACAGAGTTTTCTGGTTATCACTGTATTTTAATTGCTATTGATTACACCATTCATCTGCTTTATAAAACTCATGAATTTAATAAGAATTTAAAAAAAAAAAAAATAAACTTATTACTTTCTATAATCATTTCAAAAGTAAATACGTACTTATACTTTTATTAATTATACTCTGTAGTGTACGCAATCATGTGACTGGGAGTCGTAAAATGAATAATAAAGATATTAATACTTATTACTTATTTATGAATACTTTGCAGTCTGTAACGTTCGTGTTAGATAGATAGATAGATAACGTTTATTGCTAAAATACATGTATCTGTGTACAGAACGAGTTTACAATTACAAATTGATGATTATATCAACAGTACAAGAATAAAGCAATTAGGTGGAAAATAGCTCTTGGCTGTTTTGATTATTTTTTCCACCTAATTTTAGTAATAATAACAAAATATTTCAATTAAATAGATTTAAGGAGAACGATTAGAGATCAGGGTGCGAATTTATCATATGCAAAATAGTTTATACATAAATTCGAATAACTAGAGTTTAAAGTAATTTTCAGACATGTACACAACAAATATCAAAGCATATTAAAACATATCTAATTAGTTTTACATGAATAGCAATTCGGTTTATAACACATTGTCCTATAATTTTCAAAAAGAGAATTTAGTAGTCTATTTTTAAATATACTTAGAGAGTTGCTTCTTTTTAAGTCAAGAGGCAGGTTATTCCACATCTTAAGAAGAGAGCTTG